TTCTTACTAATATTATTTCTTGTTAAATAATATTATGTTTGGGGGTAGTATCAAATTGTTTCATTTGTTTTGCATAATAATAAAGTATAAATAATAAAAAAATTAATAAAACATTAACTAACAAATTGATAAGCAGATAAAAAAGGTAACAATTGATTGAAGATCAATTGCTTTACCAGGTCCAAATCTTTAAAGGAGAAAAAAAGAAAATAATGAATAGTTAAATAAAACAAATTAAACAGTATAAATGTTCACAGGAAAATCAGAAAATATAAATGATTGATATTTCGAGTTATGTTGAATGATTAAGTAAAAAAAAAAAACGTTGGTTAAATTAATCATGAATAATAAGTCGGTTTCATCAATGAATTATACATCTTACTACTAGTAATACAAATGTTTTTAATTTAGAACAAATTTATATTGTTACATAATTTATTCAATGATATTGTATAGTGAAATTTGTTGGTATTGTATAATTTTAAGCACGTAAATGATTATCAATTTTTTGGATTAAAATAAGTTAAGTCTAAAAACAACAAGCAAAATATGTTAAACTCGAGTTAAAATATATTTAGTTAACAGCAATATAATCGTTTTCCAAATATTAAAGACGAGAGAAAAGCATACGATATCTATGCTTAAGGGTGTTAAAACAATTAGATACATGGATTAATACGTCGTTAATAATCAAACAATTTCACACGTTTGTGAGTTTCTATAGAGGATTTAATTATTCATGAATGTAAAATTATAATATAGAGGCGTCAGATCTTCACGTTAAATGGGATGCCTTATTGAACCCACACCTTTTGCTTTATTTGATTTCTCGAAGACAATGTCCAAGGACACATGGATGGATGTTTTTTAATATCCCCGTTAGTCCTCACTTTATTATGCATGATGTTATTTATTAGAATTACTATCAATCATGATATTAAAAATAAAAAGGAATAGTTTATATTATAACTTTTTCATTTTATCTAAGTGTATCTCAGTTAATTAAAAATAACAATAATAATCAGACTAATGACTCTCTTCTTGTTTTCCTTTGAAATTGTAACGATTTTCTACACCATACCAACAAACTAATTGCAATATTACATGAAAAAACAATTGACATAGCCCTTATTGCGGAATATCACTTTACAAATAACTCAAGACTAAACATCCCTGGTTACTAAGTTATTACTTCTAACCATACTGATGGCACAGCTCACGCAGGCTCTGCGATCTTAATTCGCACATCTATCCATTTTAATCGTTTCCCTATTTACAATAAAAACTATTTACAAGCCTGCGAAATCTCTATGACAATAAATCATATTCCCCTTTTAAGAGCTGCTGCTTATTGTCTCTCAAGACATAACATAACACCTGATCAATTTAAACATTTTTTCATTACCTAGGACATAATTTCATAGTTGGTGGTGACATAAACGCAAAACACCCTCGCTGGAGCTACCTTAGCAGCAACTCTTCTACAAATTATCTCGTCTAAACTATACAAATTTCACTATGTAAAAAATAATCCATGTGTATCTACAACACTCGTAAGTATGGAAGACAAGTTATCTTTAATCTCACTAAAATATTGCTTCTCAAGATTCTCAGTTTTATTATATTGAAAAAGTACAAAAAAGAAAATTATTTTTATTTTGGAAATTTATTTTTTACAAAACGTAGTAGAAACCTTTGAAATAATTAAACACACATATATATCATGTTGATTGTCGCCATATACTTATATAACTCATTGGCTAGTTATGAAAGCTAAAAACAACGTAATACGTAAAAAATATACATTATTTGAAGTATTATAAAAAAACCAAAAAATTAAGTAATGAAATCACGAAGAATACCGAAGTTAAATTAAATGATTTACAGTTGTAAATACATGACATTTAATGATTAATTAGTATCTCGTTTATTATAAGTTTATTATTATATAAGATTATTATCTTCATGGGTTAACGTTTCATAGAATCAAAGGAAGTTGATGGACATAGTTTAGAACCCAGTGTTTTTTATATTGAAATAAGTAAGCAAGTAATAATTATCGCAATTAATGTCGGAACTTGAAATTAAAAGAACTGATAAAATTTAAGAAAATTTGATAACTCGCATAATAAACATATTTAACATGTACTTACACGATCTATATTCGATTTTCGTGAATACTTTTTAGAACGGGAATAGGTCATGGAAAATATAATACGTACTAGTCATACAAGTACGACCACAATCCACAGTAGTACACATACTTTCAATAATAGTCGAAGAATAAAATTGCTCTTATTGTCGGGGTTTGGAGGTGAAACCAGCTGACGAGATAAATCACGTTATTAAAAAATATTTTGAATACTCGAAAAAACATAATAATATATATAAAAGGCACCGAAGTTGCTCTCACAACGTAATGATAAGACAAAGCGGATTAAACATCGACAAGGATGACGCGTTATAGGTACGTATTATCAGAAAGTCGGATTTAACTTTTTCTGCGCTCAATTCAACAATTATTTTGGCACCCATTCCTTTTAAACGACTTAAGCACATAACTTAAATAAACTAAATTAGGAGAGCTGAACGGCATACACCCTATTCATTGTCAAAAATACTCAAAATAATTTTTCAAACGTGCCACTTATTTGTAAACCGTACAGCGAACAAACGTAATAATAATAGTATAGTGATAGTTAATGAAAACGTAATTGTACCTACAAGCGTAGCCACGCATGTCGATAATAATAATAATAATAATAATAATCAATTGTGAAATTAAATCACACTGTGAAAAATTGTTTTTTTCTACCTACAGTAGACAATACGTGTCGCCAACGTTTGGCGAACATTTGTTTATGTTATTTTATGTTTTATTAACATTTCATTGCTTGATAAATACGATTATATTATTTAATATACGAATACATATTATTTACATTTGTATATATTTCATATATTTTATCTTGCACTGTGGTTGCAACTATTATGATATAGTAGGTTATTGACAATCGTTGATTTTATCTATTTATCAAATTCGTCGTGTTATCGACAATATACCAACTGTAATAATAATTGCAATCAATAAGTTTTGATGAAAACATCCGGGTAACTTTAAAAAAAATTATAAAATAAAAATAAATACTACGGCAAGAGCCAAGGGGGGAGGGTCCGGACCCGGGGTCCACCTCCCCTGGGTTCGCCGCTGTCTCGGGCGGACGACAACGCGTTACGACAAAACGATTACGACCGACGGCGATAATCCCGGTTACGGGTCGCAGTTGATAACACGACGCGTTGCACATGCATCGGATCCGTCGAACGCCCTGAACGGTGGACGATTATTTTTTTAATCCTATCGTCCGAAGTTATTTTCGTCCGCATCCGGCAGCACAGGTGCGCATAGAAAATAACAGTGTTTTATTAATATTACACGTAGTCGGTCCGCCGCCGTCCGTGCGTCGTGTAAATGTCTTTTATAGTACGCGCAAACAACACCGTCGTCGTCACACACACACACACACACACACACACACACGCGCGCGCGCGCTCGTTCAACATCATCACGCCACGTCACGTGACTAACCGTTGGCCAACCAGCGACCACGTGTGTATTATAGACAAGCCGTCCGTCGTCACCGCTGCCGATTTTGGGTCGACGTTCGCGCCGCCGCCGCCGCCGTCGCAATGTTGACGTACAATAATAAGTACACGACAGACGCCAACAGTAATATAACGCACTACGGGTATTGGAATAATAAATTATTGTTTTAGCGCTATTTAAATTATTAAAACGACCCGGATCGAAGCGGTTTCCTGGGCGCGTGCTCAAAATTCCAGAAAAAAAACGATTTTTTTTTTTTTTTTTTTGATGCATTACTACCACATCGTACCGCAGCCGATCACCGGTCATTCAACGTTTCCGAATGGTTATCGAATATTATCGTCGTGCTCCCACGCATGGTAACAGGTCGTCCCGTACAGCGCAATAATTTACAACGATAAAGGTACGCGTAGAGATGATAAATCAGAGTAAAATATTTTTTCATAGCAATATCGATTATCGTTCACTGGTGTAGGCATGATTTTTTAACGGGAAGATTAAATTTGAAAAAAAAAAATGAAAATAATGTGTGGATCAACCATGAATATTCACATTTAATTACTAAAAATTAAGTAACTACCGTGATTAAGTACCGTGATCAAGATAAAGTTAAGTGGAATTGTAAACCGATAGAATATAACGTTTTGGTGTTATTCAATATTAATATTCCAAAAGTTTTAGTAAAAATAACATATTTAAGTATGTACCTATTATACTCATAAATTAAAATAGTGACTTAAATAAATATTCAACATATTGTACAACAAATAGCTACTATATTAATTTCTTAGAAAACTCCTTATGATAATCAGAAAACATGAAGACGGAGCATTTTACGGATTTTGCCCTTTGGTCAGTATTCATTAGAAAGTAATTTTAAGTATAATATTGTATGTATTTGTTTTGAAAAATGCGAATAATCTGCATAATTTAAGTAAAACATGCAAACATATTTAAAATCCAGAAAGTAATAATAATGAGGTACTAATGAAAACAATGATATTATATTTTCTGTAAATTGATTATTTCCCTGATAATAATCTACTTAAATTTGAATTCTGTTTGTACAAATCATAAATATTATATAAATTAATATAATTTTTTCTTCAATTGATATAGTGCAATGTTATAATTTAAGTTGCAGTGAACTTTAACTTTTATGCATAACACTTACGATTAGAGAAATTCAAGAATCTAATTTTTGAACTATATGAATCACATTTTTAGACAGACTTTTGTATCTATTTATTTCTAACCTTGTATTGCTAACTAATATACTTTCGAGTATATATTATAATTAATTTAATTTTTAACTCATACGTCTATCGAAAATATATCACAAAATATCTGAATAATAAACAATAATAACTTTGTGTAAATATTTAGTATTTACCTGGTTTGCACATGTCAGGCTGCTCATCTGTGTTATCGCCACAATCGTCATCTCCATCGCACGTCCATGCTAGCGGTACACATTTGCCATTTCCACAAGTATGTTGCCGCAGAGTACATTCAACATGAGGTATTGGTCGTCTAGTACTACTCACCACCAATGGCTTGTCTGTTGAAACTGAAAAAATGATAGCGTAATAATTATCAATCTCAAACATAAATTAATTTAATAATATTTTAGAAAAATAAGCTTGATTATTCACCGACAAGTTTAAATTTAAAAAATTATGCAAATAGGATTTATAGTAATTATATAATTGGGTTTTAGATTGGACAGGTAAACAATTTATTTTGTATACATGGACATGTAAAATTCAGTTTTTAAGAAAGTAAAGCTTATAGATTTGGTAAACTATTATTTTTTATGCGGGAAACGTAAATAATGGTTAATTAGTTACATAAAATGTATAACATACAGGCATGTATTACGTTACAAATATACTAAATATAATATCAGTACATTTTAACAGTAGTTAAAAAAAAAAAATACATAAATACATAATACAATAGAAATTATTTTTTTAATTATCTATTGAAAATTAACTACTGGAATGAGTGTATCGAGACATAGCTGATCACCAGTAAATTAAATTAATTTAAAATATAAGTATATATTTTTTATTCTATTTTCATAATTTCTAACCATAATTACTCAACATTTATACATTGTTTAAAATAGATTAATTTAATTTTTATTATTCGTAACTACGAGAAATATAAATATTGTTTATAATTACTAATTTAAAGACCTAGAAAGTAGTATGCGGCATGTTTTAAACTTTGGTTTTCTACTAATTTAAATTAAATTAAAAATAAAGTTAATAGTTTAAATGTAAAAAAAAAAGTAATTATTTAATATAACAAAGAAACATAAAAAACATACAACTGCAAGATATTACAGGTGGCAGATTCTAGGAAATAGGTAAATATATAAATAATGCTAAACAATAATCATGCTGAATACCTTTGTGATAATAAATGAAAATTAAATAATTAAAAACAAAAGTATTAATCTAAACAATTTTGATATTCTTTTATTGTCCTCCATTCAATTAATCATATTTTGCATAGGTTAATGAGAACGATAACATACATCATATGGCTATACGAGGCAAAATAATTGCAAATATATATAGGTACTCATAACAATTTAACATAAAATGAAAAAAAATGAACAGGTAGATAAACCAGTTCACACAATAACGCAAGGTCAATTTAAACCGATGAGTTTCGAAGGATACCTCACTTCACTTTAACCAAGTTCCTAGAATTAAATCAATTAATTATTTTATAACAATTAATAGTACTTACTCAATATTTCAAATTATATTTATAATTATTCTAGTAAATATTTTAACAGTATAAAAGCTGTTTTGTGAAATTTTGTTAGAAAAGAATAATTAAAATTAATATAAATGGATTTTTTTTTTTATTGTATTCAATTAAACGTAATACTTTATATATTTACTATATAATTGATGTTATTTTATGTACAAATGCTAAAAATTTAAAATCTATACATCCATGTTTAGATGATTTAATGTCAGGAAAACTTTAAAAAAAATGAAAGAAATAAAATTAGAGTAAAATGTAAATTATATTAATATTCACTATGGGTAAAACAGGAATCGCAGGTGTAAGGTAAAATAATTAAAATATTATAAAAACTTTTTGATAATACTGTTACAAGGGATTAAAAAAGAGTGATGGGGGATTTTATGTATCATAATCCATCAAAAATACAATTCCGAACTTCCAACAAATCGGACACGTTTTGATTATGCCTACACTCGCCTCTTTGTACCCTACTCGATGATTATAACTTTTCTATTAGGGAAAAAGCATTAATTACTGATGTAAGCCTAACCTACTTTTTACTTTATGCATTGAATGATTTGTATGATCATGTCTTAATAAAAACATAAACATAACTTGATGGACGATAACGTATGTATAAGTAGGTCATTGAAAGTAATTGTACTTAAATACATTAGAATTAATAATGTGTATTGAAATTTAATATTAATATATAACAATAACAGAACTATAGATTTTTAAATAAATGATATGGAAATATTTATAAAACTTCTTTAAATAAATAAAGAACTTATAATTACCCTAAATTAGACATTTTAAAATCATTAAAAGCAAAACTATCATGTGTACAGTAGCGTGTTTTGTAAATTTTTTGGGAGAGAGTTTTAAAATATTTTTCAAAAATAAGTGATTTTATTATATTATAAAAATTACTTACAGGGTATGAATTAATAATTATAATTATATTCTTATACAAATATTTGTATACAAAATTACAACCAAATGGTATAAATTAATGTTCTCTTTTTTCTGTACCTTTGTAGCAAATCATTAATGACTTTTGAACCTTTTTTCTTGTAAGGGAGGTTTATACCCAGAACCTTCTCTATCCCCCTCCCCCCAAAAATACGCCACTATATGTGTTTAATCTATTAAATTTAGTATCAAAATAACAAAGTTCACTACTGAAGCCAAAAAAGAAATAAAATAAAAGTGAAATAATTAGTTGATAATAAATTGTTTTTATTTTTGTTTCCCGAGCAATGCCTTGTACAGGCTGCAGTCACAGCGGCACCAACGTTGGTCGACCGATAAAATTGGCCGACAGTTGTTTATTTCAATGCAATGAGTACAGGTTATAATTCATAAAATGGATATCCCCTCATTTGTGTTTGGAAACAAGTCCTGCTCTTAAATATATATTATTAAAAATACGAAAGTATCACACGAACGACATTTTTAAGGATAGGGGAAAATATGGAGAATTCCATACATTGTTTCACCAACTATTAGAACAGCACGAAGATATACTACTATAGTCCCATGAGCTCCTTCTTTCATGGACAAAACTTATTAATTGCTCGCAGTTAATGATGAAAATGGAATATTGTAAAATAATATTCGTGTTTGAATTGATTACGTCAACTGAATCGGCCGATAAGAACAAACGAAATTGAATTTTGTCCGATGGATATCCAACGTCGGTGTAATGCGGTCGGAGGCACTGAGACCACTTGTATAATATTTAATTTATTTAAAATGATCGGGCGAGTTTCACCAACGTTGGTCGTCGGTCGAATCGGTTACACGTCACGAGCACTCGATCTAGTACTGAAATCGACCGAGTCAGTGTCTACACACGTTTTATTCGTTGGGCTGAGACACACATAAGTTAACTGCACGATCTACTCGGCTGGCGGTTTAGACCCTCCGAGTACAGTCAATTTTTGGTCTTGGGGATAGTCGTTCGGCCGAATGAATAGAAACGGTTTCTATTCAATCGCTCGTTCATTTTACTGGGCTGAGTACTGGTTCCTTGAGTTAACACAGGGCAGTGCTCAGCCGAGTTCTCATTACCTGTAAACGAGGTATAAGATTTGAATATCACTCCAACATAATTTGTCTGACAGTAATTTGTTTTAATGTAGTCTTAATATAAAAATTGTATTGTACACAGGTTTTTTATAGTTTTATCTTCGTAATCATTGATAATCGGAAATAATATTAAATCAACTTCTGCAATTTCCAATCGAAAGTTTATTATTAAATTGTCAATTAAGATTTGCAGTAATTTACTGGTATTTTTATTACTGGATTTTTACATTACTTTTTGGTATGAATACAACCAATATAGATGGTAACATTTTTAATTTATGATACATATTTTTTAATACTTTTACAGCAAAAGATATATGTAAGAATGCATAGGAAAGTATTAAACAGAGACGTTTCAAATAATTACTATAGAAACTTTTCATAATAATCATAAAATATACAACTCGACTGGTGGTATTAATTTATTATTATAAACAATATCAAATTGTTTGAGTTAGATTTTAACATGGAAAAATCCGATTTGGATAGAACTTCTGAAATTTACCTAAAACGCGATTCGTTTGAAACTACTTCGGAAATTGCAGACTATGGGAATAACAAGTTTCTAAGATTAAAAGATGTGGATATAAGTGCTGTGCCTACAGTTGAGTTTGGTAATTTATCTTCTAAGTAATTAAAACATATTTTATTAAATATAAATACTATTTTATATAACAAAAAAAAAAAAATACCCCAACTACCCTAATTTGTTGATTTCGAAAAATGTTTATATTTAAATAATGAGCTGTTTTTTTGTAAAACATACATTTAAAATTTTAGATGAAGATAGTATGAATAGTTGGGGTGTATATAAACATTATGTTCAACTTCACGATTTGATCCAAATCTTCAGTCTACAAAAGCAATTCACTTCAAAAATTATAGATGTTCAGGTAAATAAGTAGAATGGAAAAAAGTAATTTATACTGCATTTTATTTTTCACATAGCTATATTGTCTGTGCTCAAATGACATCAAAGCAATATCAAAAGCTTTGATAAAAAATAAATGTGTAACAAATTTTAATTTAACTGGAAATGAGTTAGAAATCACAGGGTGTTATTACTTGTCAAATTTGTTAAGAGAAAACAATATACTCAAAGATTTAAAATTGTCACGTTGCAAGTAAGTATTTATATTATGTAGATCATAGCTTAATATATTGGCTAAAAAAAATTTAATTTCTACTAAATAAAACTAAATTTTCAAGGATAGATGACCAAAAATCTAAAATATTATCAGAAGTTTTGGATATAACAGTATTAAAAATGTTAAACTTGAGTTACAATAAAATAGAATCTGCTGGTCTTCAAAGTATATTAGAAGCATTACAGACGAATAAAAATCTTCAAGTAATTTATATATTTTGTTAAAATATAAAAAAATTGTTTAACATTTATTTAATTGATTAATTTGTAGGAATTAGATTTAAGCTATAATAGCTTACAAAGTAAATGTATCGGCGATATTAGTATGTTCGTAGAGGTGAACGAGAATCTGCAAGTATTAAATTTATCTGGAAATTTATTAAATAAAGAAACTGGTTTGAAATAATTACTTACATTTAATAATCATATAAATATATAAATATATTTTTTTTAAGATTTATCACTTCTTATTAGAAGCTTAGGAGTTTTAAATAGCACCTTACAAGTATTAATATTACAATGGAATGGATTATCCGGTGAAATCTGTGCAAATATATTTA